TGAATGGTGGGGGGTATCCATTTGGAAGACGTCACCTGTTCATGATTATTAATGAGGGAGGCTGGCCCACGTGGAGTGACGTCACTGCAGGACACAGACATTCTTGGCTGTGTGTCCTGCCCACCAGTTCAGTTTAGTTCCAGCTGCGTAAGTGGATATCTGCATTTTTCTGAGATGGCATTAAGAGGCTGCAAGCATCCGGCAGACGCATTTTGCTATGTCTGCGGCCAATTTATCAAGACGAGCGAAAAAGTGCTCTGTGGAAGCATCTGCTAAGATGTGTGAGGCCTACAAGGCATATTTCGGCATGCCTGTCGGGGTTCAAGACAAACCCTGGGCACCTCATTTCACCTGCGAGTAATGCAAAAAAACTCTGGAAGGTAATATGGACAATTGTTGCTCGGAATTTAATATTCAAATTTTTGTTATTTCATTTTGAAAATTGTAAAAGTTTTTAATTTAAAAAATTGTTACAATTTTAAATGTTATTGAAAAAATATATACATGAAAAATGTTACGAGAATCGCTTACACATTAGTCATGGGTGAAATAAATATCTTTTTGTATGACGGTAAAGAGGGGGAAAGAGAGCAATGAAGTTCGCTATCCCAAGAATTTGGCGGAAACCCACTGACCACTGAAGCAACTGCTACTTCTTCAAACGTCAGACTGGCAATAATGCACCTGCTATCACGTATCCGGACCTTCCTTCATCTATTGTGCCACACTACCATGAGCTCCCCGTACCCACTCCCCCGGAGAGAGAGCAGCCATCTTTAGAAGAGCGCAGCAAGTCAGAGAGCGAGGAAGACGTTGTAGATCCAGATGACAATTTCAGAGGTGGAGCTGAGGAGAGAAACCCATACTACCCAAACCAAAAATACCTAAATGACATGATTAGAGATCATGGGCTGACTAAGTCCAATGCCGAGCTTTTGATGTTTAGGCTCAAGCAGTGAAACTTGTTGGATGAAAGTGTGCAAGTCGCAGATCAGAGGAAGCGTCAACAACCTTTTTGCAGCCTTCTTCACCCGTCAAGATGGGCTCTGCTTCTGCCACAATGTGACCAGTCTGTTCGAGGCAATCGGAATCGCCTGTAACCAGAATGAGTGGCACCTCTTCATTGACAGCTCATCCAGGAGCCTCAAAGCCATGCTGCTCTATAATGGTAACAAGTACCCGTCTCTTCCCCTGGCTCACTCGGTGCACCTCAGAGGATTACAACAGCATCAAGACCTTGCTGGACGCCTCGAAGTATGATGAGTACGGCTGGGAGGTCATCGGATACTTTAAAATGGTGGAATTCCTGATGAGTCTCTAAGGTGGTTTTACAAAGTTTCCCTGCTATCTTTGCCTTTGGGACAGCAGGGACACCAAGGCGCACTACCACAGGCAGGACTGGCCACAGCCAGTTCTGCCTGTGGTAGTGAGAACTCGGACCGAGTTCTCTGTTGGGAGGAACAACGTCAAGTGGGAGCCACTGTTGGACCTCCGGATGGTGCTGATGCCACCACTGCACATCAAATTGTGCCTTATGAAACAATTTGTCAGAGCTGTAGATAAGGAGTCGGCAGCCTTCAAGTACCTTCAAGACTTCTTCCCTAAGCTGTCTGAGGCAAAGGTCAAAGCCGGTGTCTTCGGCGGATCACAGATAAAGAAGATCCTGGAGTGCAATGAATTCCCCAAGAAGCTCACTAGTAAGGAGAAAGTGGCTTGGAACAGCTTTGTCGCAGTGGTTCGTGGCTTCTTGGGCAATCACAAAGTCGAATACTATGTGGAGCTGGTTGAGACTCTGGTGAAGAACTACGGCACAATGGGCTGTAGGATGTCCCTCAAAATCCATATCCTTGATGCTCATCTTGATAAATTCAAGGAGAACATGGGAGCGTACTCGGAGGAGCAAAGCGAGCGCTTCCACCAGGATATACTGGACTTTGAACGCCGCTACCAAGGACAGTATAACGAGAACATGACAGGAGACTACATTTGGGGACTGATTTGTGAAAGTGATTTACGGTATAATCGTAAATCTCGAAAAACTACTCCTAAAACTGTTGTAATCATTTTTGTATTACTTTAGTATAAATACATGTTTATTTTGATTCATATGGTTTTTTCTGACGTTTCTCATTGAAAATAGGTACATTGCAAAATATCACTATCCTGGTCACAAAAGCTAAGTTTGTGGGGCATAATAGCCATTTTCTATACTTTTTAGGCATAAGCACTAACGAAATAACACTACCCAGGAAGAAAAAATGTGTTACATAGTGTAATCATTGGTGTTGGGGAGAATATAAATAAATAATTTGGCAGGCAAGTGTCCTTCACATATCCGTCTCTCCACAACAAAAAATTTAAGCATTTCTTACGCATCCTATCGGGCGCACGGCTTCATGGGAGTTTAACATTTCAGCAGCATTTATTCAGATACAAGCAAACTCTGGACCGGTTTCGAAATGACGGTCTCATCGGCAGATACAGACTTGCCGCTGATTGCATAGGCATTGTATATAACAAGGTTAGTGTCAGAATCAGCACGACCAAACCACAGTGCCAATCCTCCCACCTCAGCTGTTTAGCATAAAACAAATAAGTTTTGTCAGCGGAAACGTTCGACTTTATTTTGAAGTTGCAATTAACAAATACACATTCAAGCCGCCTGTTAATTTCTGCGCGCTTAATTTAAGAGAAAACGTTTTGCGTTGCCAAACAAGAATATAGGCGTCATCGCGATGAGCGGCACTTTGTACCAGGCCCGATTTATTTTGGGTATCGTAGACCTGGCCCCAGTTGGTGTAGCATATGGTCCTTCTGTTTACGCATTCATAAGCCTGCCAATGTGTTTTTCGCATTTAAAAAATTGTATTAAAAATATAAATCAAAAGCAATGCGGCACACGTTATGGTACGGTTTTCCTTTAATTTCTAATGCATTTTAAACTACTTTTTGAGATAAAAAAAATAGCAATTTCTTTTTGGTAAGTGCAAGGAGATGTGCAAAACAAAGCTGATTGGAAGTAAAAGTGTAGTGTTGGGCAATATAAGTTCGCATGAATATTTATCAGCGCACGTCAATTTACCTCTGCCACATCCGCTATTCTTTACACGTCAACACACGTTGAGCTTCCAATATTGTAAGGAATTCACATTACTACCAGTACCAACAAAGGACCGAAGATTAGCGTGCGCGACCAGGCCTGTCGAACATGATTGACACTCGGCCCAGGTTTTGGGATTGCGTCTTATAACCTGTAGACTAGATTCACGCATTTCACCTGTACCAAATCTGTATCTGGTCCCGTCAAGTCAAGTTTATTTTAACCAAGTGAGAAATCGAGAGATCCAGGATGGGGTCTCGTTTGCAACAGTGACCCCGGTGATCAAAATGACTAAAGCTAAAGAAACTAAAGTACAGCACTGAAGCGAATAGCAATCCATTAAAAAGGAACTGCATTGCATTGGAAATATAATTTTTTCACAAACATTAATCAATGTTCAGTAATACATTCCTTGTAGCACAAGGCGGCTTGTGCAGATTTTTTTTTTACACTGATCTTACGATATTCGAATTTAAGTTACGTAAACATTGAACAGATATAGGGTTTGAAAGTTTCGTGCAGCAATATAAAGCTGAAATTACGGGTTTTTAAAATCATGTTTGTTTTTTTCTCACGCCTATTTTTGATCTCCCATGTAAAATAGCCAAGCAGCTGGCTACACGGGACCATCATCAATTTAACAAATTTAAAAAACTCAACACTCAAACTTAGGGACATTTTTTAATCTGAAATTTTAGCGCTCGTTTTTTCCCCACGAGATATTGGTAACCGTATGCTTCTTGAACCACTTTGCATCTCCCGTGCTCAAAAAGAGTTTAATCTTTGCGAGTTCTCTACCCGCTTAGAAATAAAGTTCAGGCGCGTGCATGCATGCCTGGTCGTTGAAGTTGTAGCATTGTAATATTGGAAACTAATTAACCTGTTCTGTAACTATTGCTGACACAGGAATAATATCCTCCAACCGCGGCCTTATTGAGAAGTTTTTTTAGGTGATAATAAAACCACCTGGCATTTTAAATATTTTGCGAGGTAACTTTCTTTTATGGTGCACTGCATGAATTTACATTTGGTATGATCTTCTATTTTAGTTAATATCTCACAGCATTCTCATTATATTGTATGGAGTGTTTCATTGCATAGAGTAATATCTGGCAGAAGGAAGGGAGCGTTGGCAGTGTGTGATAGAACAAATCTCAGACAATGACTATATGTATGTATATGTGTATTAAATGAATTTGTTTAATATATTTTTTCCTAAAAATGTTAATTAATTGTGCCACTAATTGCTCTTCGGAAAAGTGAACTGGTAAAATGAGTTGTAATTTTTTTTATAAATCCGATTGTAGTCGTGAGCAAAGTGCATCGCGATAGTTGTCACATCCTTACGAAGACTAATCTCGCGGCTCATCGATCCCACTTCATGCGATGGTCGTCTCCGTAAAATATGACAAAATTGCGTGTCACGGTGTCACCGTTTTATCTCCCGTTTATAAACGCGGCACGTGACACGTTGTGAATTACGGGCGACCTCCCCGTTCCACGCCGCCCGCTCTCGGCCCCGCGAGTGAAAATTACGGCAATTATCAACGACCCCGTTGCCGGCTGGCCGGTGGAAGGTGGGGTGGGTGGCTGTATTCTTAATGGCGTGGCCGGTACTTTGCGAGCCGCTTATCCGACCACCTCCGCTTATCCTGGCTCGAGCAACGACAGATCCCCCCCTCCACTCCCCCCCCCGCGGTACCGTTAGACAATTAGCGGGCTGCCAAGCGCACCGACGCTTTGGCAAAACGAGCACCGCCCCAAAATGGGGGGACGGGGGGGGGCAGGCGCAGGCGCGTCGCTATTATCTTTAATTGTCTGTAACGTCAGCGTCGTTATCTCCGTTAACCCCCGCAACACCCTCCCTCCCCGTCGTGGCCGTGTCGTTTGTGCGTCTCAGCTGCGGCATGGTGTGCAGGCGACTGCGGCAACTGGTGGAACACGACGCACTGTGGAAGGCGCAGTGTCGCCGCTACTGGCTCGTGCGACGGTGAGCTGCCGACTGGCACTTCCCACCACCCGACCCACCACCCGCCCCCCCCCTCGACCGTGCGGCCGCTCGCCGATGTCCCGTCGACATCGCCGAGATTGTTGTGTGCGGCACGCTTGGAGAGGTTTTGGCTTAAACATGCACTCTTTTCGCGAGCGAGTGTTTTTTTGTTTCTTCCCCGCAAGTTAAATATAAAAAGCGAGGCTTGCCGTGGAGTGATAGCACCCAGGACCCTGTATGCGTGGCGGTTCAAACAATAGTCCAAGTTTATTAGACCCCCACCACGCTTATGTCTACCCGAGTTAGATTCCCTCTCACAACCAACAACAGTGGCAAACATTTGAACTGGGTCTCCCCTAGGTCCACTTAAATGACGACCTGGTGCAGTGTGTAAACATCAACACTGGAGAGACAAAGGCGGCCGGGCGTGTTGTTGGCCACCCACCCATTCGTGCGCTGTGCCGGCGCACGAGGGAGGTGCTGCTCCGCTAACAGGACTTGCTCCTACAATAGTGTCTTTTTTTCAAATAGCCCTCATTCGCACTCAAAGTTTACCCGTGAATTAATTTCGAGAAAATATTGACTGTGCAATTATAGGCTTTGTCATCTTAACATGCTGCACACCTACGTGACTTCGCGTGCGGGGTATAAATATTTCATAATATTGAGGAGGAGGAGGAGCCTTCCACCTTCTCAAGTTTAATGAAAACCAAAACATTTGGCATGTGACATTTGTGTAGGAGTCGGAGCATTTAGCCCCGAGGACAGCTTTAATACGTGCACAAAGACATATTAGATGCCTGGACAAATTTTTTTTCTCTTGATATCACAATGAACGTGATAATTAACTTCATAAATGCCACATTCGGCAGAGGCGGCGATATTATAATTAAGTGGCCCCACAGAGCTGTGTTCAGTTTTTTTTGTTTTTGCTGCCACCATGAAAGCGGAAGGTGGATTTTAGCCTCGGATTTAAAATAACGGCCAGACCCCAGTGCTCATTAAAGTTAATCAGAGTCGTAAGTCTGCGAGATCGACGACCGTGCAATCATTACCCCGTTGCAAATGTCCACAACTCTCTTCGAGCGATAAACCACGGTTGCGTTAACACAAACGGTGTGCTTTTTTTTCTAATTGCTTTAATCAACCCCTGTGTGTGTGTGCGCACGTGTGGGAAAGTAGCGAGTGGTATAGATCGGTTAGCGTACCGCGCTACAAACCTGGCGGCCCGAGTCCCATTCCCGGCCTCGGGTTAACATCGATGGTGATTCTCTGATACCATTCCTTTGTTCATATAATTATCACCTAGGTTGACTCTGCTTTAATGAATACCTGGTGCGGTGTGTAGTAAACAGTAGCGCTCGGGGGACATAGGCGGCCTGGGAGTGGTGCTGGCCAAAACCATCTCGGGCGCCGTGTCCGCCTTCATAGGTGATCGCTTAACAGCTCTTGCCTCGGTAGCCTGTGGGTTATACGGGAGACCTGTGTCTTTGTGGGAAAGGGGCCAGCTTGTAAAGAATCAGAGAGCTTTGCATGGGTTTCGGGGGTGACTTATTTATCTCCCTTTAGTTTTTACTAAACCAATATTACAGAATTATTAAAATAAAAAATCTGATGCAGTGGAAGTGAAAACAAATCCCTAAAGATAAATCAACACACAGACTCATGCTAATTATTCAGCCGGGTTGTTTGTTAGGGTTTGAGCTTGTCATACGTTGTTAAGTTCATTGCGCTGTTTGTTTTTAAAGTCAGTGAATTTGCTATCGATCTCCCACAACCTTTGCATTACATTGATTTTCGTAGAGATTTTCCGAGACGCTAAGATGTGGAGTATGGGGGGGGGCAGTGGGCTTAGTTCTGTGAACGATGATCCTTGATCGTAATCGGAGCTGGAAAGATCTCACTTTATAACAAGGTAGTACAAGCGCTTCTTTTTCTTCTTACTTTAACAACGCGTGGTTGCCCACCCAGCGACCTGGAATGGGGGAGGGTGTACCGTTATTGGATCATCAATGTCAAGAAAAAAACACTGCTTCATGAGTCTTTATAAATATGTACATTTATACATACAGATTACGTATAAAGCGGGAGCATTCTGCACTTCTTCAATGGAGCAACAGCAAGATTATCCGAGCTCTCTCCTGAAGTCCTCTCGTCGTGGCCAGCAGACCTCAACATTAGCGTTTAACTCCAGAACGTATTGCCATCGTGCGCAATAATAAAATGGAATGTGTGGCGAAAGCAGACTGCCCTATGAGCCAGGCGATCCGAGTTCGATTCCCGGCCACGGCTAACACCAGTGGCAAGCGATATCCCAACGGGAACTGGATCTCCCCACTTTGCCATTTTTCAGTTTTACGCTGAATGTTATAGGCCCCCATCCTAAAGACGAAGGTGCCTGACAACCCAGCAGGAATTGTTTAACAGGCCTGACTGCTGACCAGACCCAGAAAGTCAAAACTGGTTCAGAGGTTGCCTGCGTAAACAGTTGCTCACTTTGCCTTCTCAAAGGAACATTGAGGCGCTGGTGCTCATCTCTTGTTCGCAGCCCTGCAGAGCTAGTGGTAGAAATTCCACATTCCTATGACTGATCGGCTGAGTCAACCCCCAAGCAGGATTTGAACTCATGACCTTCGGATTGCGAGACTCTCGCTCTGCCACTGAGCCACCTGGCCAGGCACTGCTGGCCATGTAGCTGGTGAAAGAGAAGGAAGTCTGTGAAGTTATTTTCCCTCCACCGGTGTCAACTCTGGATTTTTTCGGAGGTCGACTGTCAACGTACGCCAGCGCTTCCTCGCTGCACACGACGTTCACTGAGCTGGCGCCACTGCTTGCTATCATCACCACCACCACCACGTCAGTCTTTGTTTTCCTCTTGCCCCCCTGCTACCTTCCATTGTTCCCAAGGAGTGCGGCATGGCAGTAGGGTTTTAACACCACGTGTTCCACAGTGCATCCCGCTTTCCTCTGTCCCACTCAATCCAGCGTCTTTCTCTTGCAATCCCGCGGTTTTCACAAACATCTTTGTTCACGATCTTTCTGGTGCCGCATCCTAGTCTCGACATCAGCGTGCTCCCATCACAGCATCAAAAGCGCCTATATTCTTCTCGCGTTCATAAACAATTCTGAGCCCGTGTTCCAGGCAGCGTCCTGTATTTGCCGGAGCAGGCCCGTGTATTTTTTATGCTCACTTTTTTCCCCGTTGGTGTGTTTGGGGAAAGAGCGGCGTGATTTTAATTCGGAAATGTTTTTTTAAATATTGTTATCGTGGTAATAATAACTCATGTCTGTTTGTGGACTTATTATTGTCACGTTCACAAAGACCCAATACCGCTTCGCAATTATTCAGCAATTTCACGTAATCAATAAGACCTGAACACCATGCATACACATGTGAAATTACAGTCTTTTGTGCAGGTTTTATCTAACAGAACTCGAAACATGCGGTCATGTCGTGAATTATTTGCACATTAGCATGCATAGTATGAGCCTCTTTTGCCGATCCACTGCTGCATGTGGGCCCCTCCCCCGCACTGCGTGGGTCGTGGCCGTTGTTTCACCATACTTCACCACGCTGGTCAGCACGGGGCGGGTCACTGAAAGTGACGAGCCATGGACGTGGTAGCGTAGAATCGATGGATTTTTCTGCAAATGCCCGTGACGTAGCAAGAGCCTTCGAGTCACCCGTGGTAGCCTGGCGTGCATGGGATTCACCCCCATCCAAGCACTATCCAGACTCTACACTGCTTAGCTTCCCGGATCTGCCAAGATTGGACACATTACTTAAACCATTCCATGTTCAGCCTGGCACATATAGACGACGATGAACAGTGTCTCCAAAGTTACTGTTTTCGATTAACCTGATCATTATTATTGCATGGTTTGAAAGGTTTTATTGGAGAATGATAATTTACGTACGGGAGTCTTGGTTTAAGAAAGGCGCTGTGAAAAGAAATGAAGTTTAGATGGATTTGATCGATCCTACGTGAGGATATATGACCATTTCCTCTTTCGGGAGTGTTTTTCATGTTGTAAAATATCCGGAGCTCCCAGCCAGAACCCACGGTATATAAAGCATCACACTTGTATGACCACACACACACACATGGTTTCGCAAAACCATTTGCCGGACTGCCGTCGCCAGGCCATCGTATGCGCCTGATCCTAGATGGTGGTGGCGACGCTGCACGTTGCTGCCTGCACGTGGCTGCCTGCACGTGGCTGCCTGTGGAGGCAGCAGTTAGGGTTGGAGGATCACGCACACAGATCTCAAACTCCCCATGGGCATTAACGAGATGCCATACCATGGTTTGACAGGAGATGGAAGTACAACGAATGGTCAACTCCATCTGTTACATCTGGGTGGGTTTTCTCCGGGTGATCCAGTTTCCTCTCAGATGTTAATTGGGCGATACATCTCGGTGGGAAATTCGCTTTTTTTCCCGCACGCCTCCGAGTCATTCTCTTTCTTCGAGAGCGAGCAAATGCCTCGCGACATCGCGTTACAAGCCGAGCATATTTTTATTATCCCGTCAAGACTTTGGAAGCCGAGCAGGCGCTGGGCCTGGGTCGCGCTCTCCTCTGGGCGACCACCGTGCGCGCAAGCCAGGTGCGGTGGGTGTCATGAACGATAGAGGGCAGCGCAGCAACGTGTTCCTTCCTTTCCCCACCTTCGCTCGCCAGCGTGGTGAAGTATGGTCACAATAACCTTACCGCTACCCGCACGACGCCGTGGGGGGGGGGGGGGGGAGGACCGCCCTCATCCAGCTGCGGATTGAACACGAGGGCCCTACGTGTTTTTTGTTTGTTTTTGTTTTACGCGGCCGCGTGCGCGTTCTCACCCCGCAGATTGTGAACGTACGCCGTACAGTGTAGCACTGATCTCCCTCCCTCGGTAGCAACGGGCTGATTATTTATTCATTAGGATAAGCGTTTGGCCCGGTTCACAAGTGATACGGGCCGACACTTTTGCCGTAGCCGGTGATGCTCACTCGGCTTGGCAGCGGAAGACTTTGCTCGTATTCTCACACAGCTCCGTGGGGGTTTTTTTTTATCTTCCCCCTCCCGACTTTAAACGAGGCTTGGAATAATAATATATTTTTTGCGAGGGACCCCTTGTGTGGGCTCTGCTTTGCTTAATTCATAAAATGTTCATCAAAGCGCAAGTCTTGTGCAATAATTGGTAATCGCCCGCTCGCAATTCTGAGGTTCATACGTGATTAACATCGGCGTTTAACACCGGGTCAGTTGGGCGAATGGTCGCCGGATTTTTTTCATTTATATATGCGAACAAAAAAATCCAACCAACTCTTTTCTCTCGCGCCTGGTACGCAGGAGGTCATGGGTTCGATCCCGGACCCTGACAACGCCTGGCATGTATTTGGAGCACACGCGTTCTCTCTCTCTCCCCGTGGTGGTCGTGCAAATTTTTTCCAGATTCCTCCGGTTTCGCAAACCCCCCCCACCTCCCCCTTGCACGTTTGTAAGCGTGTATTTAGATTATTTGGAACGCTAATATAAATTCCCGCATGTGACGATGATATCAGCCACTTCGATGAGCTATCGTGTTTGGCCAGGTCGCCTCTGAAAAAAATAGACACATTTTTTTTTCCCCGATTACGGACTCGGTGGCTCGCCCGGATAACAAATCTTGGCAGGAGGACAAATCATTTCGGCAAATGAAATAGATTTTGTACAAATGAAGTTACCGTAAATTAGCATAAATTCACCCTCTCAACCATTCTCAATCAGCCAGTGGATGAAGGCTTTTCAGGGGTATTTTTTTTATCCATACCTCACCATTCTGGCCGTTGTGTCCAGGAATTGGACTCGGATCACTTTCTCCTTCTGTAATATTACATGTAATTTTACATATTAAATGCATAATAAATGGTTATAAATTGAATATACATGAATAATTATTGTTTAAACTCCCCCCTCTACCCCCCATAATTGTTGTTTATTTTGTGGTCGTCTAATCTACCACAAGTCTTTGCGGATAAACTTTTTGCCAATATGTTGATCGCTAAATGAAATCCATGGAATAAGAGTCGACTAAAATTCCGCAGGTTGCCGACGAGTAGACTCAGACCACGAAGATTTAAATTTGCTCGGGTGGCCTGAGACGACATTACTGGATTATGCTACGTCACGATTTGGCCAAATTTGTGGTTTTGTACCCCCCCCCCCACCAGCTGCTCAACCAAAGTTTTAACGCACCGATTGTCGCCGTCTCAGCTCGACGGTAACTCGGGAGGACAATTCTCACGACTGGATTTCAGCAATCGGAAACAAAATTCGATCGAGACAATTTAATTTGGAGCTCTTTTACCAACAACCTCGCCCAATGCCGGCCTTGACCTCCGGCGAAATGCCACATGAAATCGCCAACGTTTCAGCTCACTTTTCTTAACGAAACCACGGTTTTTTTTGTGTGTGCCGGCAAAACAAAACCGATCGGCGCGTAGGCCCAGGCGACAACTCGGTTTGTTCGGTTGTGTCGCGTCGGCGGGAAGGGTCGTGCCGCTGAACATTTTACAGATCGTTAACGTGGCACCAAACCAAAAATCAATTGCGAATCAAGACTTTAAACGCACCGACCGAATTAACCCTTTCTCTTCCCGAGACGTCTGCAAGTTGCGGAGCGGCTGTCCCCCGTTCACCGCTGAATCTCGGAACACGCAAGCTGTTCGGCGTTAATTGTATTTAGAGAGACGTAGTGGCGCCGTTGTTTTTAAAGACGTTCTTCACCGCAGAGAACCGTAGCGACAAGACCGCTGCACTCTACGATAGCCAGCGCCAAACTGTGCCATACGCCCTCCCCTATGGCCCTGTGGGAGCTTCGGTATCGACAAAGTTATTGTATTTCAGTTTTTCTTGTGGTCCTGTACCGTACACGTCCGTGCACTTTATATACGTATGTCACACATCTACCGTACAAGTCCGTGCACTTTATATACGTATGTCACACATCTACCGTACACGTCCGTGCACTTTATATACGTATGTCACACATCTACCGTACACGTCCGTGCACTTCATATACGTATGTCACACACCTACTGTACACGTACGTCATCGGAATGCAACCACAAGAGCAAAACCGATGAGGTACGCATACGTACGTCACGGGGAACAGGTTAACGGTCGCTGCCCTGACGTGTTGTGCTCTGGCCCGCGCCCTGCAATCCGACGGCGACACAGGCTCCCCGCGGGAGTGGCGTCGTGGAGGGAGTGCTTCCGAGAGATGTTCCGCGACTTGGGCCGCTACGTCGGCTGCTACGCCGAGATTAAGGGGGCCTGGAATGACCTGGAGAAATTCCTCGGCGAGAACTGCCCGGCGCTCCTCGGCAACCTGAGAGGTGATGGATCGCGCCGCGCCACACACCGTCTTGCTTTGCGCACCGTGATGGATGCCTTTGTTCCCGTTCCTGCTCGCGCCTTTCTTGCATTTGGGGGTCTGTTTATTTTTTATTTTATTTCAAGCGTCGACGAAAAGGTCAGGTATTTGTAGCCAGAACTAAGGAATGTCATACTCGGATACAGACAGAATGCGTTTGTGTTTTTTTTAGTTTTCCGAATAACATGTGCCCGGAGGGTTAGGTTTCATTGGTTGGTGCATTCTGCGCGATGAACCGAGCGACCTCATCCGACTCGTGGCCACGGTTAGCGTCGGCGGCCGGTGCCGTATCTCACACCGGTGTTGGGGCCTCCTCACTTGGCCGTCCCGCGCTGAACCGTGGGTGGTGAAGTATGGTCAAACTACACGCCGTGAGAAGGCACGACGAGAAGAAGTCTTTCATCCGGCGTCGGGACTGACAACAGGGCCGTCGTAAAATAATAACACGTTTAAATTACGCGCGACTTTACAAAAAATAAATCTACCGGACCGCAAAATGCTCCGCGAAACGTTAGGTTTTTCCGATTGGTGCGCGGAATGGCAATTAAAGTAATTAACGAAATTAACCGTGTAGCATTGTCGCTTTTTCATCAAACGTTTTGGAAACTAAATAGTGCATTCCAGTGTCCGTGCTCACAGTGGGAGTTGATTCATCTCGAGGCGAACGCTTTGCCCTTTTGCGTCTTATTGAACGGTCAGGTGTGCGTTAATTGATCTGTGTGCGAGGGCCCTTCCTTTAACACCCAATTGCCGGGGAGCAGGCTTAACACTGAAAAATCACCAAGCTCTCTCGCGCGCGGCCAGAAATAAAAAATAAAAACCACACCCCCCCCCCACCGTCCCCTCACCCCCCCACTGCTTGACCGCAAACGGAATATTTTAATATAGCAACAAAAAAAATCTAAATTTATCGAAATATCTCTCCCCTTTTCAAATGTGGTAATCAGAGTGATCGGGGCGCCTCATCCAAATCACACTTAGCAAATGCACGCACCCAAAGAGAGGCTCCGGTGCAATCAATTCCAATTGGCCGTAATAGCTCGGAATCCATTAAAATAGTTTAAAATCGATGTACAATTCATTCACACTCAAATTGTGAAATTTGGTTCCCTCACCCCCCCCCCCCCCCCCCGAGATGCATGGCCGCGGAATTAATGCTCCCTGCGCCGCCGGTGCGCACCGCTGGATCTCGACGGGCAGGGGACAATCCGTGTTGGGGGGTGGGGAGGGGTGGGGGGGGAGAGAGTGGCACGGAGATGACGGTGTGGTGGCAGCTCCGTTCATCCATATTTGAAATAGATTCGTAACCAATGGCAACATTAGCATCTACTTGCGAGAGGGTCGGCGGCGTTGAGTCAGGGCTCCGTACTTTCTCGTCCTCGCGGCGATGAATTGAAAATGCCGCGGCGCTGCCAAGTTGCGACGCTCGGTGCTTAAAGCACGGTGTGAAATCGAGGGGAGGCCAAAGTATAAAACGCTGACGTCCTGGTCGATAATAAATCTCGGTCTCGGCGTTCAGGAATAATATTTTGTAGCCGGTTGTAAAGATACATGTTTTAAAGCCGTCCGGGTACGCGCGCTCATTCCAAATTCCCGCCCGCGTTCATTCGTCAAGATGCCCTTTGCAGGCTGCCGTGGCGTTTGCGTGGCCGCCGTGAAAGCTTTGGGGAGGCTGCCGCGGTGCGTCAGTTAGCGGCGCGCTCGCTCGACTTTGCAATCCAAGAGGTCGCCGGTTCGTATTCTGTCGCGCGGCGCTTGAGTTAAAACAGTAGGGGGGTAGGTTCTTTAAATTACCCCCTCCCCCCACTCAGCCTCTATCCACCCAGCAGCTTTAAACGGGGGGGACAAGTCTCGCGGCAGTTTGCGTGCAGTGGGGTAAAGTGTGAGGTGCTCCCACACCCCGCCCCCCTGTCCAAGATGTATCACCAGTCCGGAAGAGTGGCTGACAAGAGGCTCTCTAGATCCTGTCTCTGATGGGAGAGAGGGCCTTGCGCAAGCATTGGCATGTACAATAATCCTTGCTAACCACGAATTTACCAACCTCCGGATTCGAGTATACACGGATTGGCTTCTGTTCAGTCGCGAGCATCTCGTTTTTTTTTATACGCGAGTCGTGAAATCAAAATTGGCGCTGCTGCGTGGCGTTCGCCGTGTTGTCTCGCAGACTCCCGTGAGAAGTAAGTCCGCTCGTGACCTTGGTCCCCCCTAACCCTGTTTTCCCCACGAGGTCTGAAGTTCCTCAACCGCGGCAGTTTTTAGGAACCTAACCCTCGCGTTTGGCAAGGGATCACTGAATATTTAGAGCCGCAGATGTACCTTAGTGACGGCTAGTTGGGGTTTGGCTTGCGACGGCCGCGACAGGCCGTGACAGAGGATCGCTGGCCGCGGGGGAGTTTGGCAGGCGGCACGGTCGCGCCAGCGGTGTCCGGGTCCTATCAGGACGCTCCCCGCGGGAGCCCGCAAACAACCGCACGGCAAAGCGCGCCGCACACGCCGTTAGTTTTACGTCCGTAAACTGCTTTACGCGGTGGCGCGTAGTTAGGCCCTCTGATTTTCAGTTGAGCGTGCTAAGATGCCATAAAATTCCAGAGAGGGAGAGAGGAGAACCCGTTAACCACCGCGGACCATTTTTGAATGAAATTGCTAACGTTCCATAAATTGACCGTTAAGATGTTGTGCCCAAGTGCTGTGATTTTTTTTGTGCCTTAACTCTCAGATTGCCCCAGCCAAGTTCAGATATCGGCGCTCGCCAAATAAACGGTAGCTGCCAACTCGGTTCGCACAGCTCCGCGGAGTCACTGCGCTTAAGCAGCTTGATACAAAGCGAAGACGTTACGAAACATTTATTGTGAATTTAACTTTAGCTAAATTAGATTCCTCGATGAAAAATGTAAATTTCACTTTGAATTCCGCGTTTTTTCTCATTAATGAAAGCCTTACAATATTTATGATTATTTTATTACCCTATTCCTTTCACTAGAAGGTAAAAAATAATCATCCCCTGTTTAAACTGTGGCCTTTGTAAATGTGTGCCACTAATAGAGTTTTTAGGATCACTGGCAGAACAAAGTATTGTAGCGGTGGGTGGAGAACGAAAATTCTCCACCCACCGCTAGAATGTTAAACCCAATTAGTGGCCGCTTGTGTTTAAATATAAATGAGTAAAAATATAGGTATGAAAGTATTTACTTAGCAAAGGCTTTCACATGTGACTTTTTACACAGAGCACCAGATACACAAGACAAGTAATTAAATGCACATGTATGTCGATGTTCCGTGAGTGGACGTCAGCCCCCACGTAGCCACAGAGCCATGTGACGGCCTGCTCCTCCTCCTCCAGCAACAACAACCGGTAGCGTCCGGCACGCCCTGACTGACTTCACACCTGGAGACGAAGTCTGAGCCACAGTCTCCTGCTCCGCGCATTCACACAGCGGGGCTGCCTCGTAGCACTACGATGCCCCATCGATGTTGGGAAGCGACACGCGCGTACACACACACAAATCGGGAGTCGGCGATTTAAAACTCTGTGATTGTGAACATGATGGTCATAACAACAGCTGCTACTGTTTTATGAACCCCCGTTATTGATTTTCTAACATTCCAAATATCCTATTTGTCATGTATATTTTCTTATACTTTTAATAGAATCACTTCATTCTCTTGAGTTGCCGTTTTAGAGCCACTCTTCACATCGAGTGCAAGAAAGACCGCTATCACGTTACCAGTCTGTTATCACGTTACCGGTCCGCTATAGCGGCACTGTAACGTGATGGGGTTCATTTTCACCACAAATTATTTGAGGTATTCCGGTTGAGCTTAGCCAGCCTGCTTGGCTGCCGGGCCGCCTCCGCCAACGCTAAGATACTTCTCTTCCTTTTTATCGGCGGAGCATGTTGACTCGGTAAATAAAGCGAGCGGAGCAAGCGGCGTGTGACAGATGCGGCTCGTGGTCTGATTGTGTTGTTGGGCAGGGGCCGAGGTGCTTTTTGAATTGGTCGGACAGCGGGGAACGTGCGGCCGCTTGTTTGCCCATCCTGACAATTTAACGTCAATTTGGCCCTCGGAGCCGGGCGGTTCTCGCTGCCGCTTTCGAGCTGGGGGTGGTGAGGGGTCGGGGGATGGGGAGGGGTGGGGGGGCCGGGGGGGTGGGGTTGGCCGAGGCTGGCGGAGGAAGGTTTTTAAATGCGAGAAAGAAATAGCCCGGCGCTCCGTGGCCTGACGTCCCCTCTGCTCTAGGTTTGCCACGGAGAGGCAAACTAAGGAGGCCCTAATGAGACAAAATAACAAGGCTGTCATGCCGAACATAGAGCGCGACGGAGATACATCGAGACGTGTAACAAACGCTCAAACATGCCGGATTTTTTTTAACTCCACCCCCCCCTCCTCCACCTCCTTTTGGCAGTGACAACCAGAGCTGCCACAGCTGCACTTAGGAGTTGTTGCTGCTGCTGCCGCCGCCGCCGTCGCCGCCGCCGCCGCCGCGTGACCTATAAGCATGACAGACACTGTTGACGACGACGGAGCGCGGTGCGGACGGGTGAACGGTTGGTCGTGTTTGTTCTTTAGTTTATTTAATTTTTTTGTCCCACGTCTCGTTTGGCCAGCCGGCCGCTTCCGTGGTTTGGCGACGCCGGGCTAGGACGTGGCTGTGCACGAAAACCTCGGGGCGACGTCCCTCCCCCCCCCCCGGTGCTCGGTCCGTGCGTCATTTACAACGCCGGCATTCACAAACGATAAAGCAGGGATTGCGCATTAACATCGGCGTCTTTTATCTCATCGGATGGGAGCCGTTTTAGGTTCATTATCTCGTCTATGAAGTGGGTCCACTGGGACTTTTGTTGTTTCATCGTAATCTTTCATTGCGCCAATATCAGCCGTGGTCTCTCCACCGCTGGGTGAGAAAGGCCTCGCCAGTCAGTGCATCGCTGCGGTTGCGTTACTGTGAGGTGCGTTCCCTCC